AAAAAAAAAAAAAAAAGAAAAGAAGAAAAAAACCCAATTTCTCCCTAAAAACCTAAAAATAAAATATAAATAAATAAATACCCATAAATTCATACTCCCTCACTCAAAACTCAAAACTCACAAAAGATGTACTACAAAAAACCCACATCCTCGTCAATTTTCGACGCTTTCTCCTTAAACCCTATGCCTTACCCAGTGCTCCTACTGCTGGCCGTCATCTCCATCCTCCTCGGCCTTCAGTGGTACGTCTCCTACGAGTCCGCCGTGGAGGCGGCGGAGGAGGGCATGGGCTGGCTGCTCATGGTGGCGCCGCTCGTCCTTCTGATCGCCGTCAGGTGGCTCTCCGCCTCCGACCCCCCCTGCTGGTGGCTCTACGCGCCCTGGGACAGGCGCCGGAGGGAATATTACCTAGGAGCGGTCGCCGGAGACGGCGGAGGATCGCCCTGGGTGGTGGCGGCGCTGATTGTGCTGCTACTCGTGTTTGTACAGTTCCAGTCGGCTTTTCTCGAGGGCTGGTTTATATGATTTAATTAAAAAGAAAAATAGATTTGAGTATTTTTGTTTTTTGTTTTTTTTTGTTTTTTTTAATCTACTTTTTGCCTTTTGATTTGTAATTTAAAGTGTAGGGGCTAATTTTGTGTGCTTATCACTTTATCTCATGTGATTGTTGTACTGTGCATAGCTATCAAGTTAATTATAACTTTATGTCTATGGCTGTTGGTTGTGTTGTCAATTTGAATTCAGAGCTTAATTTATTTTTATTTTTATTTTGAATATCATTATTTGTTGAAGGCCATGCCAAGGAGAGGAAAATGAAAGGGAAAAAAAAAACTGTTCTCTTATAAGAATGTAAGTAACAATTATGGTTTATTCATAATTTTGTGCTGAAAATTTTGTAGTGGGGAACACCTACACTAGTGGAGTGGTGATAGTGTGAGGGCAAATCTGCAATTATTACATCTTTGTCTAATTCCTGAGATTATTGAGATAGTGTGAGTGCAAATGTGCAATTATTACATCTTTGTCTAATTCCCAAGATTATATTAATTGTGCTCTTTTATTCCAGCCAATGGGTGTGGTGGTAGGTTGAATGTGATAGGGAGTGCTTGGATATGAGGTAAGATTTGAGTTATTTTAGTTTTGATTGGATTTGTTGGTTAACCAACTATAGTTTTAAAAAAATTGGTTGATTTAGATTTGAGTGATTTTTTTTTTTGAATGAAATTAATATTTAAAATAAAATTATTAAAGTTGATTTTTGATATAAATGTTGAATAGATGTTTGAAAGTGATATGTAGCTAAAATTATGTGAGTAGATGGATAGTGAATTAAAGTTGATGATGAGTATGGTTGTTTGATATTATTTAATTATATTGATAATATTGAAGATGGTTGAGTTGAGTTAGATTTTTTGTTAAAAAAAGTGTGTTTTTGTTTTCAAGCACCAACCTACTATTTTGACATGGTTTTTATATAATATTCATAAAATACACCAATCTACTATTTTGACATGGTTTTTATATTAATATTCATAAAATAATGTGAAGTACTCAATTCTTCTATGAGGCTAACTAACAATTGGGTCTATTCATCATATTTTTAACAAAAATTTATACTTAAATATGACTTGAAATATCATACTTTTGTAATATTTAGAATGATATTTTTAACAAAAAATTATACTTAAATGTGACTTGAAATATCATACTTTTGTAATATTTAGAGTGATATTTCACTATGTATGTCTACTTAAGCATGCTGCCTTTTATTATATTCATCTAGCATATTCATCTATTGATAAATTATTTGGTTTTCCATTCTCCACTTTTGCACATCATTAATTTCGTAAGAAACTGTGAATATTATGGCAAT